AGGAATGAAGCAAAGGGAGCAATGTAGGAGTTGTTGCAGAGCATCCAGAGCAGAAGAGGGTGCACCATACGAGTGGGGCCGCTAGTATGGAGTGCCAGCGGTGGCACCTTGTCCACTATTTTCACCCCGTGAAATCGGGTAGTGGATCAGACGCGTAGAAAGACCAAAAACTCTGCTAGAAGGCAAAACCCTAGCCTCCAGAGATCATCTGGAGGGGGAATTGGCAAGGAGGAGGATGCCATCTTCACCACCAAGCGCAAGGGAGGCTACAACATCATCACCATGTCGGCATCATCATCATCATCCCCATCCTTATCATTGCAAGGGAGATGAACCCCGCAATGTGTAAAATGGAATTGAGCGTGAGGTGGTGGAGTTGGATCCCATAGAACTCAAGCAGGCCCTGTAGGAAGGGGTGAATAGGAAACCCTAGGCCACGAAGAAGAAAGGGGAGGAAGCATACCCGCTCATCCCTGTGCGGGATGGGATGGATGTCGGCGTCAACTTTCCCGACCACGGATATTAAGCCTAGATGAGTGGAGGTCAGATCTGAGTCCGGCAAATAACTGTGGGTGGCGAGCCGGTCTAGTTAGAGATGGGTGACGGAGCAGCTTCCCCAATCGCCTTTGAGGGCACCATGGGGGCACTTGGAGGAGCCCGCGTTGCTTGCCATTTCTTGAGCTCTCAAAGCTAGACTTTGTGGGGAAAGGGGGGTTTCGTATTGAATTGCAAAAGGGAAAGGTCAAGATGCACCTTGTTGTTACTTTCGATTGGGTACCCATTATATAAAGCAAAAGGGGTGACGTTTCAACGCCTGGCTATAAAGCGGCCCGTTCCCTAGACAGCTGGACGTCCAATGGGAGATTACTTTAATAAAAATAGTGCATGATGGGACTCGAGGCCAAATACTAAAGGCCTCGGATGGTGATCTTATCCCAAAGGGCCGAGGAGGCAGCACGAGCTCCGAAGCCGAACGCAAATTGCTAATGGCAACTTGTCTGTCAAGCCAAAGACTCCAAGGCCGAAGACATATCTCTGAAGAAGATTGTCGTCTTCGATGTCGAAGACTAGTTCAGGGGCTACTAACGGTGTCCTGAACCAGGGTACCAACCAAGTTGGCCCAGAGTCCTTGGGTCGAGCTTATGGCCCACTGTACTCACAAGGAAGGACTCCAGAAGCCTCGCACTTCAAGATGATCAAGATGGGCTCTACCGAAGACTTGACGTGTACTCCAAGGACAGCATCGGCCGCTGGTACGTTTATCCCTAGTTTGGCAACCGACTATGTGTAACCCTAGGTACCCCAGCATCGATATAAGCTATGGGTTTAGTCCGTAGACGGGACAGTCAATTACAACCACCTAGCCTTAGGGTTAGAACAGAACTTACGATCTCGGCGTAGATCAAGCTTGTACTTGATACATAATCATCAATACAATCAAAGCATGATGTAGAGTATTACCTCTTCGAGAGGACCCGAACCTGGGTAAATACTGTCTCCTTCGTCCCCTATTACGCATAGATCTGAGATCCACACCTCGGGACCCCCTTCCCCGAGGTCTGCTGGTTTTAGTACCGACAGCGTGCCTTTGGCTCGCTTCAGTGCTTATAGTCGTCACTAGGTGGTCTACAGATCTGGATGTAATTTTTATTATTTCTGTTATTCGTGGTACTATCATGATCGACGATGAATTGATGGGAAAGCTTTTGTTCCACCGACGGTTCGATGTGTTCCGCCCGCCTCTCTCTATGTGGGACACGTCTCCTCTGAGCCCCACATCTTACCTTCTTATCTCCACAAAGTTCCATAACATCACACCTTATCCTCACACCTTACCATGCTCGTGTCGCTGCCCCACCGGTGAGACGCAACACCCCGCCTCCTCTTCTTCTTGATCTCCTCCTCTTCCTCTCTCTCTCCTCCCTCTCCCTCTCCTCTAACCTCGTAGCCCCTCTGTCCCTCTTCAGATCGCATGGTCGCGGGTTACTGTGCTCGAGATCGTACGGGGAGGGCACACATTGCCGCCTCTCGCCGGTCAGCGAGCACTTCTTTCCGCCCCCTTGACCCCCGCTCCAGCACTTCCCGCGTGTCGACCCGAGGCCTGGCGCCACAGCAGCTGCTCCCACGGCACGAAGGCAATTGCAGGCACCCGTTTCTGCAACAGTGGTGTTGTTGCAAATCTCAGCGTCATTGACAACTATGTTGGCGCTGTTTTTGTAAAAAATAATCCTACAACAAGACCTTTGTTGCAAAAAAAAACCTACACCAAAATGCCTCTTGCAAAAAATAAATGAAACATGGCCTTTGTTGCCAAAAAAATTGTAGTATTAAAACTTCTATTGCAAAAATAATTAATTTGCAACGAAACCTCTGTTGCAAATATAAATCTGTAACTTGACATGTGTTGCAAAATTCTGCAACATGACCTGTGTTGCAAAAAGATTCTGCAATACAGCCTATGTTGCAATGGTAGAGAGTGAAGTCCGGCCGGTATTTCCTAAACGGCGCCTTAAGCGCCCGTTTTAGGTGTTAGGGCAAACCGGCGCACACCCCCTTCTCCACGCGGGCCGGCCCATTTCATTTTTTCCCTCCTCTTTATTAAGGAGCAAAAATAATACGAACACAGCGGGAATCAAACCGTGACTTCCTGGTCATATGCACACTACGCTAACCACCGCAGCCACCGCACCTTTTGCGTCTCTTATCAGTTTTTTACTTCTTTTCTTCTTTCTTGTTTCTTTTTCGTTTTTTTATTTTTTCTTGGAAGAGTTTCGTTTAGTTTTTTTCTTTTATTTTTTCGTTTTTCTTAGAACTGTTTTTGTTCTTTTTTTATATATTTTTCATTTTTTTTCTAAATACATGAACATTCTCTTCAAATTTGTGAACTTTTTCTCAATTTGATGAACTTTTTTTTCAAAGTTGATGAACTTTTATCAAAGTCAATGAACTTTTATTTTGAAATTTGATAAAAAAATCAAACACGATCAACTTTTTTGAAATCCATGAACTTTTTTTGAATTTCGATGAATTACTTTTAAAATTTCGTGAACTTTTTTTCAAATTCGATGAACTAATTTTTCAAATTTTATGAAATTATTGTTCGCCATATTGAAGAAAAATGTTCACCATACATTGAAAAAATGTTCAGTGTGTATAAAAAAATGTTCATCATGTCTAGAAATTTTGTTCAGTATGCACTCAAAAGGAGTTCATCATACTTAAAAAAAGTTCTATGTGTATTTGAATATTGTTCGCCATACATTAAAAAAATGTTCAGCGTGTATAAAAAATGTTCATCGTGTAGAGAAATTTTGTTCAGCATTTACTCAAAAAAAGTTCAGCGTATTCTAAAAAAATGGTTAGTGTTTCTTTGTATAATGTTCACCCTATACTAAGAAAATGTTCAATGTGTATTCTAAATTTGCTTTCTAAAAATTGTTCACAGTACAAAAAAAGTATTCAAATTTCGAAATTTGTTCAGTTTTTGAAAAACATAGTTCGCGTTTAAAAGAAAAAGAATATTCGAAATTTGATGAACTATATTCAGAATTGATGAACTAATTTTTTCAAATTCGATGAACTTTTTTCAGAATTGGTTAACTTTTTTTTCTAACTCGTATTTTTTAAGAAAATTGATGAACCTTTTCGAGTTCCATGAATGTTTTTTAAAATTGAACTCTTATTACACATATATGATTTCCTTTTTCTTTTTTATGTTTCCCTTTTCTGAAATGATTTTTATGGTACAGAAGTTATGTCAATGTTGTACTAGAAGAAGTATTAAGTAGGTTTATTTTTGGATTATAGACATGTAAGCTGTCCTAGTGTAGTGGTAACTGCACTGTTTCTTTCGGCTGTATATGTAGGTGCGTTGGTTCGAATCCCACTACCTGCAATTATGTTTCTACTACGTTTTCTTTTTGGCGAAATTATGTTTCAACCACGTTTTCTTTTTGGCGAGGTTATTGGGCCGGCCCGCTAGGCGACGCGCGCGAGCGCCAGGAACATTAAGCGGCGCAGAAGGCGCCCTATAGGAGCTCCCAGTCCGGCCGCTCAATCCATCATATCTGACGGCTCCCGCGGTGACGGGTCTTTTAAAAAGATCCGCGGGCCGTAGCAGCGCCCTTGAATTGATTGGGAGTTTTACTTGGAAAAAAAACTGTGCCATAAACCAATATGGAAGCATCGTACGACAAAAAACGTGTGTGAAAGTAACAATCGTGTGGGCAGCAGTTTCGGTGCCATAAAGACCAACATGCCTTGGTGGCCTTCGCTGTGCCAGCACTGATCATCGTACACATTAGCCTTCATTGCATTAATACCAAATCGATGCGACACCAAACAATCGCCACGGGGTGGGGTAGCAGTAGGAGTGGCAGAGCACTCAACAGTACACAGAGAGGACAGAGGCATCGAATCCTAAGCCAATTTCCAGCTATAAATCGATTCGATGATTCGTTTGCCCAACACCAGACGACGCACCAAATTTTAATTCGCCAGTCGCCGCTGCCCGCAATCGTAAACCCGACTACCAGCAAAATGCCTCTCGCCGCGATGCCGAGCTCTGGCAACCAGGGCAGAGGTGCGCCGCATTTGGTCTTCGTCCCGAGCGCCGGCATGGGTCACATCCTCCCTTTCTGCCGCTTCATTACCGCCCTCGCCAACACGGGCGTGGACATCTCCGTCGTGACCGCCCTCCCAACGGTCTCGGAGGCCGAGGCTGACCACTTCGCCGGCCTCTTCGCTGCCTTCCCCGCCATACGACGCATCGACTTCAACCTCCTGCCCTTCGATGACGCCGCCTTTGCCGACACCGACCCTTCTTCCTACGGTGGGAGTCCCTGCGCCGCTCGTCCCATCTCCTTGGCCCGCTCATCGCCGCCGCTGCCCCGGGCGCGTCGGCCATCGTCACAGACGTCACCTTGGCTTCTCAGGTCATACCTATAGCTAAAAACGAGCTGCAGCTTCCATGCCACATCCTGTTCATATCCTGCGCAACCATGCTGTCATTCGTTGCCTACTTCCCCATCTACCTTGACGGCGCCAACGCAGACCACCTCGTCGGCGAAGTCGATGCTCCCGGCGTTCTAGGTCTCCCGGTAGATTACCCCCCACATGCGCTGCGCAACCCCAACAGCCTCTTCACCAAGCAGTTCATCGCCAACGCCAGCGAGATCACCAAAGCAGACGGCATTCTTGTCAACACGTTCCATGCGTTGGAGCCAGAGGCACTCGCTGCCCTGCGGGACGGCAAGGTCGTTCCCGGATTCCCTCCGGTGTTCGCCGTTGGCCCGCTCAAGTCGACGACCGTAGCGAGAAGCAACAAGGCGGTACTTGGTGCCTCCCCTATTGCCTGGCTCGGAGAGCAGCCGGCGCGATCGGTGGTGTACGTCGCCTTCGGTAACCGTAGCGCCGCCACGCTGGAACAGATCCATGAGATCGGCGCCGGGCTGGAGGCCAGCGGCTGCCGGTTCCTGTGGGTGGTAAAGACCACAATAGTGGACCGCGACGACACCGCGGAGCTCAGGGACGTGCTGGGCGATGGGTTCTTGGAGCGTGTCCAAGGGCGTGGCCTCGTGCCCAAGGAGTGGGTGGACCAGGAGGAGGTCCTGAAACACCCGGCAGTGGGGCTGTTCCTAAGCCACTGCGGGTGGAACTCGGTGACGGAGGCGGCCGCGTACGGCGTACCGATGCTGGCATGGCCGACGTTGGGCGACCAAAAAATAATCGCGACCGTGATAAGAAGCGGCGGTTTCGGGTTGTGGATGGAACATTGGAGCTGGGAGGAGGAGAACTCGGTGGTCAGCGGGACCGAGATAGGGGAAAAGGTGAAGGAGCTGATGGGCGATGAGACGATTTCGGCAAGGGCGACCAAGGTCGGCGAGGAGGCCACCAAGGCAGTCGCCCAAGGCGGCTCAAGCTACCAGAGCATGCAGGAATTTCTTGCTATGCTTTAGTGACTGTTTCAGGGAGTCTTTTAGACTTCTTAACCCGTCATACTCCTCGTATCGTACCCTTTGTATTTTCTAATAAGAATGTGAACGCGAAATGCGACGGGACTTGTTTCGACATAAGTCGAGTGTAATTTATCAAGTATTCGCTCCGTAAACAAATATAAGATCACTAGCCATCGACCCGTGCAGATTGCACGGGCCGGTAATTAGTCTGCTTCAACATTATTGTGTAAATCCAAAGCAACAGTTCACCGTGCTTTATGTGTGTGTCTTTGAGGGAGGGCAATGATAACATGTACTCGCTCCGTTCCTTAATATAAGACTGATAAAGATAAACTCTCTCGTTATTGAAATATTGCCATTGCCAACATTCATGCTCTGTACCCTAAATATTGTGTTGCAGGTTTAAAGAATTTACTTTAATATTGCATGAAGTTTGTAAAATAGAGAATGTCACAATAGTGACAATGAAAATTGTAAAGATATTTGAGCAACACAAATTTGTAAATAATTTGTGCTCCATCTGAGTAAGTGAGTAGCCTATGTCAATGCTACACGGTATTTGCAAATGATATTTTTGACATAGATTAATATTCATATTCATATTTTTTTTGATGAAACCATAATATGAAGGACTAAACCATCAAGTGTTTCTAAAACTCTATAAAAATTTCACAAAGCCAGAGTGATCGACGTTTTCAAAATGCAACCTCGAAGAGACAATGAATAATCGATACCAAGGCTAGTACCGTCTTACTTTGGATTTGAATGACGAAGGCTAGTAGTCACGTACCTTATAAAGAAAGGATGAAGTACTTTTCACTATGCTTCATATTAATAAAAATATTAAATTACAATAGATACTTCCTCTGTCACTCAAACTGATGTATCTGGCGCTGAAATACGCCTAGATACATCCGTTTGAGCGATAGTTATTTCCAAACAGAGGGGGTACTTATTATTTCCAGACAGAAGCTTTATAAAAAAGTGAAGTATGCGACCAACATGTAGAGGAAAATTGAAGTAATTGGTTGTAAAAATATATAACTTGAGGAAAGAGGTAAAATGAAAAGAAAACAAATAAATAAGGACTTAAAGACAGTATATCTTGCAGCTTCATGACTACCAACATACAGATATAGAGAGACGGGAAAAGGTGCATTAGCGGATAGGAACCATAAGGTATGTGTTATTCATATTTATTATTATTATTAGAAAAAGGCATACGCCCGACTTTATAAATAAAGCCACCAGGCAGAGTTCAGAAACGACACACCCACAGAAAGTAGCCACACCCACCCAAGGGTGACAAGAATAACGTAAGTATGAGATACAGGGCACCCAAGCCAACAGCACGGCACGCAGGCCGGAAGGAAAGCATAACCAGCAGAACTAGAGCGACAGAGCCAACAACTAAGTCAAAAGAAGTGTCGGTGGAACTATGCAGCAGGCTCCTGCTTAGAGAGGTAAGACGCCGAGGTCCGAATTTTGGATATCGAATGATCAAGTGTGTCCCGGTCCTCCGCTTTAGTCAATGATCTCCACTGCTGCAGAAACAGACATGATTTAAGTAAGCAATTAACAGTTTTAGCCGGAAAAACATGCTCGATGGTAAATTTGTTTCTGATAGTCCACAGGGCCCAGCAGGCCATCCCGAGCCCAAAGAAACATGCTTGGTGGCCCCAACTAGGTCATTTGCAAGGACCCGAGTCAGAGAAAGAAGATGGCGCCCATGGCACCTGAAGCCACATCATGACACAGCTCCAGACCAGCTTTGCCAGGACACAATGAAAGAAGATATGAATAGTGTCCTCAAGGGTGCCGCAAAGGGCACAAGAATCTGAGCCCGGCCTGTTACGTTTATGAATTTGGTCAGCCGCAGGGAGACGGCCTCTAAAGGCTTGCCAGAGAAATATCTTGATCTTAAGTGGAATCCGGGCCCTCCAAACTAGAGAAAATCTGTTTGTGGGGTTACCACCAATCAGCTTAGAGTATAAAGACTTAACAGAAAACCGACCAGAAGCAACGTGGGGCCAGACCACCGTGTCATCTGCCTCCGAGAGCATGGGGAAGAAGGCATTAAGTTGTAGAGAGTCTTCCAACTCTTCAGGGGACAAAGAACGCCGGAAAGCTAGATCTCAATTATTAGCCGAGAGCTCCGTGATGAAGACCTTCGGGTTTAGACAGTAAGAGAACAAAGTAGGGAAGGTCACGGAGAGAGGTGAATCTCCACACCACCAATCGAGCCAAAATCGAACAGAGGCTCCGTTACCAACCACGAACTTGACATGAGCCTGAAAGAGGGGCCGGACTTTCACGAGGTCTTTCCAAAACTGCGATCCGCCCCGAGAGGGAGAAAACATGGGGTTAGAGACAGGGATATATTTGGCTTTAAGAATAGAAACCACAAAGTGTCGGCGCCGGGACTTGTTTCGACATAAGTCGAGTGTAATTTATCAAGTATTCGCTCTGTAAACAAATATAAGATCACTAGGCATCGACCCGTGCAGATTGCACGGGCTGATAATTAGTCCGTTTCAACATTATTGTGTAAATCAAAGCAACAGTTCACCGTGCGTTATGTATTAATAAAGTGATACTAGCAAAAGGTTCCGTGCATTTCAGCGAGATAATAAAATCGTGGTCTTCAAATATTCGTACTCCATGCATATACACATATTTAAATATGTGCACCAACGGGCACGCACGCGGACGTAAGACACGTGCATTCTAACATGCTCACAATGGATGATGTTAGACTTGATCCTTGATGCGTGTATTATTTCGTTAAGTATATCCTCAATATGTGTATGAGAAGGAAAAGAAAAGGCCAGTCTAACAATGGATGGAAAACTGGAGGGCCCTATGACGTACAAATAATAGGGACGAACGCTTGTTTTTTTTTTCTTCTATGGGTGGTGGGTGGACAATTTTCTTCAACTTTAGTGGTAGTTTCGATGAAAAAGGGAAAATTTTGAGAAACAATTAATGAAGAGTTTTTTCTCTTACGGTTGGCGGAATGGATAATTTACTTCAACTTTAGTTGTTGTTTCAATGACAGATAAAGAAACCAGAGAAACAATTAATAAAGAGTTTTTTTCACTTACATGTGACATGGTGGGTAATTTACTTTAACTTTATTTATTGGCAACTTAAGTAGGTGGATGGACAAAAAACGAAGAAACACGCCGTCCTTTATTATTATTATAGCACATATACCTGCGCGTTGCATTAGGAGAGATAATTGAGGAGAGATAATTGACGTGTCCACGAAAATATCCGTCAGCACGGCCGAACTGCCATGACTAATAATCATAATTTGTTTCATCTCAACACATATTTTCATACTTTACAAATCTTTCTCAGTACAGGTACAACACAACTCTACGTTTAGTGAAGGTTTATGTTCCTTTCCTATGAACTTTTATTTCCGAGATCACAGTCACATGAATATCAGCGTATGGCTTACTAAGTTGAAATTGTTCTCATCAGTGTAAGGTGGTACAGTCAAATAATCAAAGTGGGCCAATGTGAGAAGGAGACATCTAGTAGATAACCATTTCTTGGAACACACAATCGCACATAGATCCAACGGATGAGCACCGAAAATTTTTGTAACCGGTGCATCCAACAGCTTCCGATCGGTGTACATCTAGCAACAACGATTGATTAAAGAAATAGCAACATGCACTAAATCCCCAAAGAGCCGCGCACTACGTGCCCCCTTATCCACAACATCGCCATTTCTCCGCCCCCATCTTCCTCCTCCTGCTACCTCACACCACCAAGCGCTGCATTTGATAACAAACAACAGAAGAGTTACAGGCCGCATTTGTTAACTGTTTTGCTGAACTAATATCAAGGCACGTAACTGCATCAGAATCTGCACCAGTTGGGCATATGAATCTTTCATCCCACAGTTTAGCATACAGGTCAATGCTACCTTGAAAATAACCACTTAAACAAATTTAAGTAGTCTACAAAAGGTATGCTACTCAATTAAGAGAATGATAATTGATACAAAGCAGCTAAAGGACAACTTACATTGGTTAAAATATACGCAATTTCCACTGAACAGTTTGGATGATGTGGCACCCAATGAAGCGTCAAGCAGCTTGCAATATTGTGTCCAATATGATTGTTAACCTTATCAAGAACAAGATTTACATTATATTGGTTAAAATATACTCACTCAAACAACAACTGTGAAGATCCTCAAGCAAGGACATTCTTCTTGATACAGCTACCTGAAATTAACAACAAGCGGGTTACTCTATCAAATTTCCAACATAAAAGATTAAGTGGTCATGCTAACAGACAACTCACTTCAACAATGTGAGACCAGCTAGTTAACATGCGAAGCTGGACTGCCTGTTCTTCAATATTTTTGTTATATCTCCAGACCCATTTCAGCATATGATGGAAGGATTCTTTTAGCTCTCCTTTATCAGACTTGCTCAATAGTGTGTGCAGTTCTTCTGACATCTGAACATCAAAAGAAGCAACTTGAAGGACATAATAATCTCAAAACCCAATATGAACAGAACTGAACGCACAACCTGGATAAGCTTTTGATGGAACGCATCCAGATCAATCAGTCGATCACCTCTCTCCGAAAAATAATATACACCACCAAATAATATACACCGCCAATTTCAGATGTTGCAAAATTCCATAGGATCTCTTCAATATATGAATCAGAAAACTGATGAGATACCAAAAATCAAAATAATAATTTCACAGGTTCAAATGCACACCTTCGATCCAACTCTCAGATTCGAAAGCAAACTGAGGGTAGTTCATTGAAGTGTCTGGACATTTGAACTGTACAACTTCAAGCAATTCCAAAACCTACATGAAACAAATCGCACATAAGATTTTATAGCGGACAAATTGTCAAGAGATCTTAAAAGTTTGGATCAGTAGCTGGTCCGTCTTTTTATGTGATTTAGATCACTGTGCCAAATTAATTGCCTTCTATGTGTTCAAATAGGAATTATACA